AATGAGATAAGATGAGATATGATAAAATGAAGGTAAGAAATTTAGATAAGATGATATTACATGATTATATTTGAAATAAATTAGATAAGATGAAATAAAGGCATGTTCAAATGGATGAATTAAAGTGATATTAGATAGGATAAGATGAGACAATATGAGATAATATGAAATGCAATTAGTTGCTATGACATGTGATTATATGAGACAAAATCAGATCAAATCAGATGAGATTGAAGTGAGACGAATATATATGACATTATGAAATGTAGTAAGAGTAAATTAGATCAAATCAGATGATACGAGGTGATATGAGACAATATGATATAATACGGTAAAAAAGGATCAAATTATTTGAGATAAGATAAGCAAAGTTTAGATGAGACTATACAAGATGACGTGCATTGATCTAAGATGACAAATTAATATATGAAGTGACGTTATATCTCATAAGATTAAATAAGATGAAGTAGGAAGAATTGAGCTAAGATTAAATTAGGCAAGATTAAATAAAAACATATAACATTAGATGAGGTGAGAGGAATTGAGAAGAATTTAAATAAGATCCTATCACTTGATCAACGCCCAATCAAGTATCAAGAAGTATTCACCTAGTGAGAAGTCGTCTGTCATAGTAGTTGTCATGATTCCCAACATTAGACAGTGGACTTGGTACATTCTCAAACGTTTCGCCGGCATCATAGTCGACATCATCAGTGAATTTTGCCATTCTCCGCACCAAGCTACGAACTCGTCAGAGGCAAGTAAATTCAATCTCTCGACAAACAATGTCAACATGAATGTTCCAGTAAAGCCAATCTACAGCTGATAAAGAGTAATACGCCGTCGTCTTCTGGTGGAATAGCCCTTCGAATCTCTTCACCAAAACCTTACACTCGAAATGGGAGTAAGCTCAACAAGTATGAAACTATAGATTCCTCGTAGCCCAACTTTTCTTTGTACATACTAAGAGCCTAATCAAATATAAGGGCGTATGCTAGCAGAAGTTACACATATAAAAGTAAGTTGATGGTTTATCGACCATTTTAAAGCATCAAATAGGCGAATTTTGTTTTGGATAATAAGCCGGAGCAGGTTTCATGTGGGACGTAAGGTGAGAATGCCCTATTTCATTGAATCCGTAAGTTCCAAAATTTGTACGAACAAATTTTCTCAACCTGCTCGTGATTTAAGAGACCTGGATGAGCTTAACTTATCTGAAGTCCTCTGCGATAAAAGCCATGATAATTTCCAGTCTCGAACCGTGGACTTGTTACATTCCCAAACAATTCGCTGACACCACAATAAGCATCGCCAATGAGTTTGTTATTTTGGCACCAAGCTACAACTCGTCAAAGACGAGACAAGTAAAGTACATCCTATGACCAACTTAAAACCAGAGAAGCGAGGAGTAATACCACAACTGTTGAATAGAAAATTGGTCGAGGGGATTGCCTTCAGTTGTCAATTTGATAAATTTAAACTCTGTACTTACAATAGCGCCTTTCACTGACGATGCCGACTACGATGCCGGCAAAGCGTTTTGGAATGTACCCAGCCAATGATCCAATGCTGGAAATCACGAATACTATGGGAGAGGACACGGGACTAAATACATTCCACAAGGTCTCCTTGACGCTCCGATCAAGTTGTCAAAACAAGGTCGAAAAACACTATAAAGCTAAGGGAGACTGCGAACAAACAGAAACCCACACGATCTTGGTCTTCATATCTACGATTTAAAACCAAATTATTGTGATATTTAGACTCCTCTCCTACTACATCAACAAACATAGAGTCAACATCATCTTGATCTTTTATATTTGCGAGTAAACAACGAAATTAAGATTACCAAATAATCTATTCAATACAGTCTGACAAATAAAACAGTTGTAAGTCAATAATGCCGCTTAATATATTTAAACTGTTATCACCCCTAGATCATTAACATTTAGACACTGTTAGTGATGTTCATTACCACGCCTTCATTTAGAAATTACGGAAAACTTATGATAGTGTGAAGAGTACAGTCAATTTATAGGTAATGTCAAAACTCAGCCGGGATCTGGTCAGGATTCTCACTCCAAAATATTTTCAAAACACCAGAGTATAGCTTACAATAAATCACGAAGGATCTATGACTTGATAGCTACGGGGCCTGGAAAGAGATTTGTTACATATAAGACTATAACACAGTATAAGATTAAGCTAGGCCTCCAAGATAGTGTAATTACCGAGGTGGCAACACCCACAGGTACGGAAAGTGATGGGGATAAAATTGTGAAATTATCCTCAGCTCTTTTTGATTCCGAAATCACAGAGATCCAGAAAAAAGGATTACATTTTTTACTCCAGAATTAAAGAAATGTTCGTATAAGATATTCTTGTGGAGATAAAGATAAGAATGTATATGGAAGTAAATCTGATAATATATACAAATCAGGAGCACAGAAATAAAAGCAGATTAACGAGGATGCGCAAAACTCTACAAAGTAATGACAAAAACGTCCTTTAGACGGATAAAAAGGATTAGCGACAGTTATAATGAACAGGAAACAATACACTGAGAAGATAGAAAGTATATTATGAGACAGAACGACATATCAAGTAATAAGGAAAGACCCCACTATGAAGATCAATGGAAAACCTTATGGATGCATAAGAAATCAACGGATAAACTATTTTGGGGGTCTGGCGTACAAGATAATATACATACAGATAGCGATAAGTAGGTAAGTAGCAAGTAGGTTTCAAGCCTATCGATAGACCTTGAATAAGAGCTGTATTCATCCAACTAATAGTTGAATTTTTTCATGACGATATGAGTAAGCTTCACATGGTTGATTATAATAGTAAATTGAAGTTTGCTTTATTGACAATCTCACCACAAAAAGGTAATGTATGAAAGGACTAGCCTTCCTCGAAATTCTCGTCTACCCTGTGAACCAGTAGCACTCATAAAGTGGTAGCGTAGTGGTAACGAATCGAGACTATACACTATAGTATCCGAGTTAGAATTCTGATAGAAATATTGATGAGAACTTCGCGATTTCTAAGTTGCACTCCACCCTGTATGAGAATACTTATTTGGAGGTAAGGCCAGGTGAAAGTCAATGGAAAAATGAAGCTAACTAAAACGATAGTGGGAAAATTCAACTATTAGTCCCTCCTCACCTTGTTGCGACAGGGAAAATAGAGTTGTAATCACCCTCTTTCGTTTAAGGTGATGAAGAACTGGTAGTAAAAAGTTTTCACAATGATATGAGTAGAGCTGACGTCTTCATTAAATTATACATAGCCTTGAGTTTCCAAAAGTTGTTCTCATCAATGGTAGACTACAGTTTCGACCTAGGCTAGGTCTTACCAAAACCCTTAGCGGGAGTCGAACTGTGACAGTGCAGCATGTGAGCTTAACAGGTTAACCAAATAGCCACATTGTCACGAGGATGTGAGTTTTAACGAAGGTCAGGCCTTTTCAAATATCGCATTCTTTTTGGTCGATGAAGCAAATGTATTTTTGCTAAAAAATCGACTACATTACTTATTTTTCGTATTTAAGTTTCTAGACACTTCCTATTACTGATTTACTGGGAGTATTTAAACCCTCCTTATATACTAAAAAAGAAGTGCAGTCGATTGTTATAGCAAAAATACGTTTGCTTCATCGAAAATTCCATTGAAGAATGCGATATGAGAAGAGGCCTGGACTTCCTTGAAATTCATATCTGTTCTGTTATACAAAGGCACTCATGGCAATGTGGTTGAGTTGTTAATCTGTCAAGCTCACAAGCTGAAATGTCACGGTTCGACTCCAGCTGTGGGTGTTGGTGAGACCTAGGCGGGGTCAAGACTGCAGTCCAACCTGGATGAGAACAACTTTTAGGAAATCATGGCTATGTATAAGTTAATGAAAACGTCAATTTTACTCATCGAATTGTGGGAACATTCTACGACCCCGCTTTTATCACCTTAAACGAAAGAGTGAATACATTTCATATAGCTAATTTACTGGTAGTCTCGAAACTCCGCTTATATACGAAATACAAGGGAAAATAGATTTCTTATTTAAGTTTTTCTGCTAGTTTCTAAGCATACTGAAGAAAATGTCAACCAGAAGGCTCCAATAAAGTTAAACGAGAACTGGCCAAGAGGAATCCGCCGTCTTCTGGTGAGGCCGACCTGCGAGTCTCTTTATCCCACGCTTTCTCTGGAAATGGAAATGAGCTTAAAAATTGTAAATCAAGGGATTCCATGAGACCCAACTTTTTTCGCATATATTTGAAATTTAATCGTGTCTCAAAATCTCTCATGTAAATTATCTGGCTCAGTGTTCGCAAGCAGATAAATCGCGTTTGTACTAATGCAAAGATAGAGATCACTTCTAGAGGCCATGTCAGCAAGTTAGCATTTTTACGAAGTTGAAAAGAATAGCTAGCATTTTGCTTACCCTCCTAAGGGTTGTTAGATCGCCAAGGATTTTCTTCGCATATCATCATATGCTTCATGAGCAGTAACTAGAGCTTGGATTCCATCAATCCAAAAAGCAGTATTATTGATATAAGTGGAAGGCTCTTACCCAATTTGCCTTTGAGACGAACAAGACCATCTCTGATGGTCTGAACTGCTGTAGAAGATGAATTCAGAGCCAAAGCGGTGGGCTCATGTTCCGGGCCCTTTAGTGGGTCCTGAAAAACCGGTTTTCTGGCAGCTCGAACAAGAGAAGATATCGGGGAAAGAGAGCGGGAGGAAGGATAGGAGACAATGGGAGGCGAAGCAGGAGACGAAAAGGCTGCCTGATTCGGACCTGATGTTGAATTAATCTTCTCGGGGAAGGCGGACGGAGAAGCCTAAAAAGATGAGGAAACTTATATCTGAAGCTGGCCTCTCGACATAATCTTATTATGAGAATAAGCAAAATAAATCCCATCATAAATAAACGGAAAATTGATGAGAATAATTGGTTATGAATTGATTAATTGTTTACTTATAAAGATAACATTTAAAGGGGAGACGAAAATCTCTACATATATCAAGACCAAGATGTTGTCGTCTTTGGAATGGTCGCAGTATGCTTTCGATGTATGTTAGTGAGCTGACCTTGTTTTCGCAACTTGGTCGAGTTGTCAGGGAAAGTAATGCTGACGCACCTCGTTCCAAGTCCTCTGCTATAGTAAATCGTATTCGGCATCGTCAGCGAATCTTGCCATTCTCAGCACCAGTCTACAACTCATCAAAGAGCAAATGAAGTCAACCCAATGACCAACTTTCTGTCGAAACGGTTGTGCTCACTCCTCATTCTGTCCAAACACATACATATACCCCTTTATTCTATTACCACATTACTGCCTTATCACAACTTCTGACTTCTTTATATTACACTCATCAATAGGGAGACAGCGATCATACCAAAGGGCACATCTTGGTCTTCATATATTCGAGTAAACTACGATAATAAGATTGCCATGTAGTGCACTGAATACAACCGGACAAAGAAGGCAATCAAATGTCAATCTTGCCCTTCTATCTTTTAAAACTGTTGTAAACGTTATGGTATCATACCTGGATTATTTGACCCTAAGAGACCCTACCATTCAGATAGTCAATGAGATTCTCCACCAGGTTTCCATTAAGAAGTTAAGTAAAATGTATAATTTGGAGAGGAATAAGTTATTCCAGTTGATAGATATTAAGTCAAAGCTCCGGCGTGATCTATCCAGGATCATAATTCATGAAGACTTTCAAATACTCCAGGGTATGGCCGACAAGAAATCACGTAGGATCTCTGACTTAATAACAAAATGGCACGATTATAAGACTGCGTAAGTTAAATCAAATGCCCCCTTTCCCCAGTTAAAGTGGTTTCAGAGGTGAAAACACCTACTGATCAGAACGGGGATCGGAATAAAGTAGTGAATTTATCTCCCCGTCGTCTTGATCTCGAAAGCCCCAAAATCCTGAATAAAGGACTACATCTTGTATCTTCGAAATGACATAAGCCTTCCAAAAGAAATCCTAGTGGAGACAAGTTCCTTGAGGAGACAAAACTGGGAATGGAGATGGAAATAAATCAAAGAATTTTGACACGCAGAGACAGATTTACGAGAATTCTAAAGACCCTTAAAATGAATGAGAAACTGGTAAATCAGGTAGATAAAGAATGAGCGACAGCGATAATAAACTGAAAACAATATGCCGGGAAAATGGAATGTATATTGCGAGATAGAAGTACGTATCGTGTACTAACTTTGTCCCAACAATTAAGATCAATAGGACCTTACATGATATGCTGAAATATATGCATGGGAACGGTGAAATTGACGCATGGACGAAAAATTCAATCATACGAAAGGATGCACGACCACCAGCAGTCTAAGGTTGCCGAAGATACACAAAGGCTAACAACAAAGGTTAATAGTCAGCAACAAATATGCATCGACACCCAAATTGGCAAAGTTTATATTTGAAACTCAAAAAATTGAAAGACAGATTATCAAACGCAGTAAAGCATTTTTATAAATTTTCTCAAAGAATCAAAAACATAGCGGTGAAAGAAAAAGAATTGTTGGCAAGTTTTAAAGTAGAATGCATGTATACAAGCATCTCTGGAGAAAATGCTCTAACAGTCCTGTTGGAAATCTTGAACAGAGAAGAGGATATCCTGAAAGTGGGAACGATCAGAAGGGAGTGTTTAACACGACTAATCAACTTAACAATAAGGACTACCTATTTAACATGCAACGGGAGCACCCATAAGTAAATGTTTGGACTTCCTATGGGATCACTGCTTTCCCCTCTTTGGCAAATGAATTCATGAACAAATAAGAAGAGGACTTCGAGACGTCGCCGCAGCAACCAGGAATGTTCATAGGGACGAATTCGAACTTTGGTCGCAGGGAAGAAAAAAAGTGAAAAGTTTCTCAAGTTTATAAATCAGATTGATAAAAGAATCAAATTCACAATTGAAGTAGAGGAAGAGAATCAGTTACCTTCCCTTGGCGTTGAAGTCATTCATCCTTTTAGGAGACTCAAGAAGAAATTGTTTAGAAAGAAGTCATATGCCGGGATAATACTTAATTTCCAGTCCCATTACAAGAACAAAGTAAGGATTTGAATAATGAGGAGCATATCATCAGAAGCCTACAATTTACGGACATAAAACTCTAAAATGAAGAATTTGAGAAATTGATTTGGAAATAACTCGGGAGCGGACACCCAAGAAAAGAAAAACAAAGAAACATGCGGGCGATGAAAGCCAATGACAGCACAAAGATCATGAAAGAACCGTAAAGATGAAGGACTCACAAAAGTGTATATGCCTACCTTGGTGCGAACTAACTCAAAAACAACAGCCAATACAAATGGGATATTCAAGTGACCACGAAGGAAGAAACAATATTCTTCACAGGTTTACACACATAACATGAGAGGGTGGACAAATTGGATTGCTCGGGAGTTTAATGGATAGAATATGGAGTCTGTGAAGAGAAATATATTGGCGAAATAGGGAGAAAATTCAGCGTAGAAATCAAGGAACATCAAAGGCTCTGTAGGAAAATGTATACCGAAAGATCAGAATTAGCGGAACA